CCCAGGTTCAAGTGATTCTTGTGCTTCAGCCTCCCAAGGAACTGGGACTAAAGGCGTGTGCCACCATACCCACCTAATTTTTTTGTATTTTTATTAGAGACAGGGTTTCATTGTGTTGGTCAGGCTGGTCTTCAACTCCTGACCTCGTGATCTGCCCACCTTGGCCTCCCAAAGTGCTGGGATGACAGGCATGCACCACTGTGCATCTATTTAATCGTGTGAATTTGAGTAGATTGTATCTTTTAGGGAATTGGGCTATTTCATCAGATTATCAAAATTGTGGGCATAGTATTGTTCATATTAATAATATTCCTATTTGATCCCTTTAATATCTGTAAGACTTGCAGTAATGTTTCTTCCTTCATTTCTATTATTAGTAATTTGTGTCCTATTTTTTATCTTAGCCTGGCAGAAGGCTCATCAATTTTGCTGATCTTTTGAAAGGAACAGCTTTTGGTTTTGTTTATTTTCTCTGTTGATATCCTCTTTATAATTTCGCTGATTTCTGTTCTAACATTTTTCATTTATTCTGCTTCCTTTAGATTTAAATTGCTATTTTAATTTTAGTTTCCTAAAGTAAAAGCTTAGATTATTGATTTTTTCCTTTCTAATATGCATTAATGCCATATGTTTTCCTCTAAGTCCTGCTTTTGCTGCATCTCACAAATTTAGATGCTACATTTTAATTTTCATTTAAATTTTTCATAAAATTTCCACTTTGCCCCATATGTTATTTAGAAGTGTTTTGTTTAATCTTCACATATTTTGAGATTTTCCAATTATCTTCCTGTTATTGACTTCTAGTTTAATTCCACTGTGGTCTGAGGGCAGACATTATATAATTTCTATTCTTGGAAATTTTCTCAGTTATGTTTCATAGCCCAGAATGTGGTCTATCTTAGTGAATATTTCATAAGAGCTTGAGAAGAATGTGTATTCTGTTGTTGTTAAATGAAGTAGCCTACATTACTTAGTAATGTAGACATTCCTAAGTAATATCCATTACTTAGGATTGGTGATGTTATTTAGTCCAACTATGTCCTTACTGATTTTTGGCTGTTGGATCTGTTCATTTTCAATACAGGATTATTGAAGTCTCCAACCATGTGTATTTATATATAGTAATTCCTCATATATTATCATTGATAGGTTCTTAAAAAGTGACTTAAGCAAAACAACATCCTGTACGCCACAGGAACTTATCAATTAGTCTATGGTAAAATTGGTTTTCTTATGTGGAATGCTACTCTACCTAAAGTCACAGTTTTCAATGACCTATTGACAATATTAAGTGAGAACTTACTGGATTTCTCCTTGTAGTTCTATCATTTTGTTTCTTCATGTATTTTGACACACTACTTTTAGGTGCTTACATGTTGAGAATTGTTAAAAAAAAAAAAAAAGAATTAGAGATGCTAAAAATATTACAAATTTCAAATATGCTTAATACTGACTTTCCAACCAGCTCAACATTATGATGTTAGATATTTGTATTTGTGAAGAAATTACGCAGTTTGATGGTGATCCTTAAATTCAGGAAATAAAAATAGTCATTATTAAAAAAAAAAAATTGTTATGCTTTTTTAATGATAATAGAAGAATAAACTATTTTATTATTATAAGTCCCTTTTTTAATCCCTGATAACTTTCCTTGCTTTGAAGTCTGCTGTGTTTGAAATGAATATAGTTACTTCCCATTTCTTTTTATTAGTGTAAGTGTGGTATATCCTCAATCCAGTTACTTTAAATTCTAATTTAAAGTAACTATTTCTAATTTAAAGTAACTATAGGTATAAACTGTACATATTCTACCAAAAAATCACTTTATATTTAAAGTACCTTTATATTTAAAGTGAGATTTCTAGACTAC